CCTATGTAAGATGTGTAAAACAGCCTAAAAAGGACAATGCGACAACACAACATTTTGATGAAATGTCGCGTTGTCGCATTGTGCGTGTCGTCTTTGTTATTGAGTATAGTATGTATTATAACATGCCTAAGACGCGACAATGCGACATATTTGTCGCGATTGTCGCGACAATCGCGTTTTCGCCCTTTCGATTACCGGTGTGCATGTGTAGAAAGTCAATTAGTCTACGCATGTGCAGACAATATTATACTCTATTTCAGACTTCACTGGCCTTTTGTTACCTCTAATGGTTTTTACAATGTAGTAGTGCTCGTAATTGCAATGGGGCTGCTTTTCTTGAACTTAATGGAAATCTTTCATTGTTGCTTCATTATTTTATATATTGTAACTGTGTTTAGCCAATCAAGTGTGTTTCAGCAGCCAGACAAATTATTAGCGCTACTATTCATTGTAATCACGGCACACGGTGGCCCTGTCATTCAAGGCGAGGCAATTTGCTATGCAGGGTTGTGTCTCTTAGTCACACTAGATAACTATGATCATAGGTTCGAGTCCCAGCACCATACATATTCATCACTTTGAACATTTCACTTATATCAAGCTCACAGGTTGTGAAAAAACTCAAATATTGTTAAAATTCAGGCCACATCGGCATAAACATCAGGTGAAGTCCTCCAATGGGTCACTATGTTCGACAGTGTGGCTCCTGACAGAGTTTCTTGGTACAGTCCTGTCCGACGCTGATGAATTTGTCCGACATCTGCCTCTGTTCAACCAGCAGTGGATGGATACCAGGTAGAATGAGATGGTAATATCACTTAACCATCCAGCACCTCAAAGACAGTTTAGGTCGGCTTTGAACGTGATATTCTACTTGGGAAACCGCCATACAAATGGACTATTATCATTATGGTATTAGAAACGATGAAATCGCTTAGCAGAGTTGCGTACCCTTGGAGTGGCAGAAACCAACCCTCCCTCTCTCACTCCTCTCACTCCGCCCCACTCTGCTCTTCTCCACCCCGCTCTTCTCCGCTCCACTCCTCTCCTCATCTCTCCTCTCCTCTCCTCTCCTCTCCTCTCCTCACCTCTCCGCTCCTCTCCTCTCCTCTCCTCTCTTCTCTTCTCTTCTCTTCCACTCCTCTCCTCTCCTCTCCTCTCCTCTCCGCTCCACTCCTCTCCTCTCTTCTCCTCTCCTTTCCGCTCCTCTCCTCTCCGCTCTCTCCTCTCCTCTCCGCACCTCTCCTCTCCGCTCCTCTCCTTTCCACTCCACTCCACTCCTCTCCTCTCCGCTCCACTCCACTTTCACTCCTCACTCACTCAAGGTTTAGTGAACTTGGTAAATTAGCAAGATATTTCATTACAATAATGTGTTGTGATGTCTGTTTTTGAATTCTATTTGAATCCTATATTATTTATAATAATAATAATATACCAAGCGATACACATGTATTTGTATCGTTTCAAACATACACCTACTCAATCAAAATAATTTTCAGCAAAATGGCCAGTTTCAACATATCCATTCCATTAACCAAGAACTCTTAACCCACAGACTTCACGGCCACATTTATTATTACTCTGAGTTCCATCCCTGTGTATCTTAGCCCTTTAAAAACATCTAAACATAATCATCCTTAGTTATAATTTTGAAATTCCGCGGTAACTAATAAAACGCGACACGCCAATGCGATAATGCAACATTTTGATGAAATGTCGCTTTGTCACATTGTCGCGTGTCGCGCTTTGTTAAAATATTGATTATAGTATGCATTATATAACCACAGGAGTTCGAATCACTGTTTGGACAATACAAATAAAAATCTAGACTTTTGCAATCGTATATTGTTCTTTTTTATGTTATAAATAACCTATATTTCAAATTTGAACGAGATCTGTGAAGAAATGAATTTTTAAGAAAATTCTACCGCTACACTCATTACATACAATACTCAAAGGGTGACACTCGCGATGCTCAAAGACTTATCGAAAACCGGACAGCCCGACTATTTTAACGTGCGGTGCAATCAAAACTTACGTTTTTCACAAAACATTGTTTTGAGCTTGTAGGTTATTCTTTTACCTTTCTGCTCATTGTATTCAATTTGTCTACCCGCTTTTGATATTTGAACACTCACCCTCGCATAAGCACTACCCTCTGCTTTGAATAAATGTCTGGCCTCTCTTCGGTAAACATCGACAGTTTTCGTAAATCTTTCCGTGTACGCAAACGTTATTTATGTAGATTCGAGACACGAAAATCGTTACAATAACAAAGACCCCATTTTCAACACCGACATGTATCAACATTGAAACACTCAGCTTTGTCAGCGATCTCGAATCTTGAAGATTTCTACGTTACTTACAGTGAGGTGACAAAGTTGGACTATACTTGTTCCAAGGATTGACTAAACTAAAACGCATTGCCCTGAAACATAATAAGATCTCCCAGATAAACACTGGCATCTTCCATGGCTGAAATGATGTTGTCTTCGTGGATCTGACTGGAAACACGGGATGTAAGATCGCCGATGACGCATTTGCATCCTTGAAGAACCTGCATGATCTATTTCTGGGTGACCCTAACCTTGGACGTGCTTCCAGTGCCATGTTCACTGGGTTGACAAATCTCAGAAACCTTGATCTCCATGGAAACAATTTTGAAAAGGTATCTTTGCAATTATTTCAACATTTGACAAGCCTTAAGACTCTAGATCTGTACGACAATAAATTAGCAACTATTCCAGATTTGTTCGAGCTGATCTTCCAGAAGCTGCAGATCATCCATCTTTCAGACAACCCCTGGAGATGTACATGCGACATTCAGTGGCTGAAGAACCTCAACCAGAGCGTGATGTACTCCGTGTACTCGGGCAATGTTCCGGTATGCGCTGCTCCAAGTGTACTGAAATACCATACGATTTACCATGCAGAAGATAAGGACTTCACTTGTATTCCCCCCCCCAAATTCTAAAGTGCGGGGATCTCTATACCGTGAAACAGGGAGATCTTCTACACATTTCATGTCAGATTGAGGGTGATCTGTTTCCGAATGTGACCTGGATGAGACCCGACGGGACCATAATCTCAGCTTCAAGTGTCTCCATCTTCGACCCCCGGTATACGACAACAAGGGATGTCAGCACTGTTTTGACTGCTGAGGCTTCTTATGACGGGTTATGGACAGTTCAGGCTGCCAACGATAAAGGAAAGGACGAGAAAACATTCCGTGTTCATGTTCAAATTCCCCACAACTACGTCAACGACTACAACTGCAACTCCGGTGGAGTCAGCTGACGTTCTTGGCAGCGGGTTCCTGGTGGCGGTCGGCGGGTTCGGGAGCACGGTGCTCCTTGGACTGATTATATTTGGAAGTGTGGTGTGCTGCAGTCAGGCTAAGAAAGGCCAGGTGGAACCGACCGACACCATGGAGTCTTTGAAGAAAGAACACATTGACACAATAACATTTATTGTTACACCACCGACTTAGTAGTGCGATGAGGATAGGTGACTTGTTGTATTAAACTGGGCTTGGATTTGGGCCTCTTGTCATGGGTTCGAGCCCCAGATTGGAACTGATTATGATTCGTCGTGATTCAGCAGCAGGTTCAGATAGGTGGTAGTCGTTTACACTTCTGTACATTAACTTGGGGATTAACTGAAATATTACGGAATATATGCAACTAACGAAGGCAATGCAAGACATGATTGTATGAAATTTAATATTTTAAAATATTTGTTCCGCCCTAAAATATATGGAACATAACATGCATCATGCTTTGTTATTTTTAGGACGTTCGTATGAAAATTGCAATTACAAACCCTTTTAAGATCAAGCTGAATGAAACTGAAAGAAACACATAATTCTCGTCATTACGTTCTCAAAACAACCCGTTGATAAGTTCTACTGAAAAGAGCCTTATAGGGTAAAGATGTACCCTGAACAACGGTACACGTGTTACAGCAGGTCTGGCTCTGACCCCAACCTCTCCAAGGTGTTTCACCAATGTCTGGTTTGATGTCTTTGGCAATCCCAGAATCTGCTGTAGTCGATGATTCAGCTGTGTAGCCATGGTGGAGATAGGGTTGTCACAGGATGACGTTGTGACGCGGGATCAGTCTGATTTAGGTCGGTCACGTGACGTACCATGCCACAGGTTCACTTACCAAAGTGTAGACACACCGAATGCTCTCGCCACGATTCTATTTCTTCCAGTCATGCAGCAAGTTTGCATAATGTTTTTTAGTTGGCTTTGACTTTTTTTAAAGAGTTAACAGTTATGGTGGGTTATTAATTTGGTCGTTGATGAGTACTGATGATTCCAAAAATACCATTGTTGTTTTGGTATCAGATGGCATCAGATAATGCTTCTTATATAGCATATGCTCTGATGTAGATAAAAAAAATTCCTTTGTGTTTCACTCTGCAGGATTATTGATTACCCGAACCAGTGAAGATCCGGGTTAGAACTGGTTTTCAGTAACCCATGCTTGTCGTAAGAGGCGACTAACGGGATCGGGTGGTCAGACTCGCTGACGTGGTTGACACATGTCATCGTATCCCAATTGCGTAGATTGATGCTTATGATGATGATGACGATATTGTCAGGCCCAGACACGATAATGTACAGACCGCCCTCATATAGCATTGATATTGCTGAGTGCAGTGTGACGAACCAACAAACCAACGAAATAGTTTCCCGGACATGTCTCTAAAACAGCTGTGATGGAGTTATCTTGGATACTTCAGACAATCGTTTTTATCGGTCCATGAGTACTTTTTAGCTTGCAGCATGTGTGATATATGAGATATATCCAGTGAGATATCGATCAAATACAAAGGTTTTAGCAGCACCGTTAGTTATATATACCCAAGATGTACAATGCGATGTTCTACTGTGTGGTTGCAATATAGGTACAATGTCAAGATGTTTGTTTGAAAGGACTTGGACCTATATGTCTCAATACAGATATTTTTAAATAATAGAATAACAATGATATAGATTCATTAGACATTTTATTCATGTACACAATGTCTAAATGTGTGCCACATGTGCAAATGGTGACACACATGTTCTCTATGTGACTTAAATTTCAACTGAAGTGGTACAACGAGGCTTTCAAACTGACAGCGGTACAATGAGGCTTTCAATCTGACCGTGGTAAAACGAGACTTTCAATCTGACAGTGATACAACGAGGCTTTCAATCTGACAGTGGTACAACGAGGCTGTCAATCTGACAGCGGTACAACGAGGCTTTCAATCTGACCGTGGTACAACGAGACTTTCAATCTGACAGTGGTACAACGAGGCTTTCAATCTGACAGAGGTAAACTGTATATCATCATGATTTTACAGGTTTTTGTCTCACGATACGACTAAATTACAGCGGACGTTAACATCCAGATCAGTGCCTTACCGATGTAACACACTACAGTGGTACGGTGTAATATTAAGCATTGAAATGTGTGTGTCTTTCATAAGATTGAATATAATACTATTTGCAGCCATTATGGCTTACAAGGGAACATAGTATATACAGGATATGTATGTATGTCATCTAGACGTACAATACACATACTAGCATTGCAAGTTATGTATAATAAACTTACAGATGTTACTGATACAACCAATATGGTTTACAGGATCACAGTGTATATGATAAATATACATGTGTATACGTTATATAAGGCAGGACAATATATACTAACATTGCAAGTTATGTATAGTATACTTACAGTTGTTATTGATATAGCCAATATGGCTTACAGGAACACATGGTATATGATAAAGATACATGTGTATATGTTATACAAGGTGGTAGTACAAAATATACTAACATTGCAAGGTGTTATGTATAATATACTTACAGTTGTTATTGGTATAGCCAATATGGCTTACATGGGTACATAACATATGCTAATATACATGTGCAATATATTTATACTAACATTGCAAGTTATGGCTAGGGAATGTACAAATGTCTTAGACTTGAGCCAATATGGCTTACAAGGTATCCCTAACTGGAATATGCGTCCATTTTAAATGGACACTGGGTTCACACATTACACAGGGTTCACAGTTTTCTGGTGCCCTTGACCCCGATGGGATGAAGAAGCGGGTACTTCCTGCTATCAGGTTTCACTCTTCTTCTTGTGCGAGTCCGATGAGAGCCACCATGCTTGATGGTCACGACATCGCAGTCCCCGGGAGTCAAAGGCTTATGACGGCCCGCAGCTGACAAGATGGAAACATGTATATAAACAATTTGAAAATACTCAATGTCTATATGTTGGTTAATGGTTCATATATTTTACTCTTCTTGAGTGAGTGAGTGAGTGAGTGAGTGAGTGTTAGTGGGTGAGTGTGTGGGATGAAACTGGATTAAATCAATGGTCGATCATCTGAGCATCAATTCCTAGTTTTGGATTACCATGACAAGGATTTTCTTTGAGGGTCCCTTGGACTCATACTCTGAATTTTCAGGGGTCCTGGACTACAAAATGGGGGTCCCAAACACTTAAATAGCATTATTAATACAATGTTGTAACATGGTTGTAATTCGGTTACTGTTATTGTATTGTGTATCATGATCATGACATTGTTACAGTAATTAAAATGCAAATGATACAACAGCCCGGCTAGTAGCAGACTCAGTGATAACGTATTGTGACATGATTGAAATTTTACTAAAAGTATTTAGACTTTGTTTAAAAAGACCAAACAAAATACTCATCATTATTAAGAATTTGAGAATTTCAAGCTAGGAAAACAAAAGCTTGGCTCGCCGGAGGGTATTGTTTGAAACATTACATGTTATCCTTTTAGAAAATACATTATAAAGACAGTAACATTTTATATTAGTGTGCCCTATGTATGATGTTTTCACACACAAATATTTTTCAAATACCATTTTTAAAAACAAAATGTACACTCTCTCAGAACATTACCACAAACTTCTATATCTTTATTATTGTCATGTTCTTGGCTCGGGGAACCCATGCAAAACGTTTTATGCTAGACACATACGCTACTGTTATGTGCGATATAGTTCTAAGATGTCATCCGTCCATGGCAACACTACACAATATCTTGTTACTGTGCCACCTCTTCGTATATGATACATGTATCTACACTGTACTTGGGCCGTTAGCCTTGTTGATTTATTATTTTACTTTACTAACAGTGTAACATAACTGACAACGCCAGACGCAAAGTGCCCTCCGTCCATAGCAACACTTACCTTTCTTACTGGAGCCGGAAGCAGCTGGCAGCAGGACAGATCTGATCACGTGACAGTGTCGTGACCGGAAGTTGTCAAATGTCTGTCGTTCACAGATCCGTGGCGACTTGTGGCGACAGTGGGTGACAATCTGGTTGTCAGGTCCCCTCTGTTCGCAGACAAACACCCGGGGCCTGCCGTCACACCCAGGGGGGACGTACACGACGACCGTGTCTCCTAGCAGTATGTTCATGGGGAGTTTGTCACCTAAGTATACATATACAATGTTGTTGTCCCCGAGTTGTACAATAGTTGTATTGCTAAGGCTAGCATTGGAGTCTTTCTTTTGAATAAAAGAAATGGTGTTTCTATTGCGCCCGATTTGTACAATGCGCCGTATATCGATTTGAGGACGATTACAGAGACGCTTCTTACAGCTCTCTGGCTTTTGGTCAGATTGTAAAGACTGGTTGGCATGTTTCAACTTTCCTTTTCTACCTTTCTCTGATCGTAAAAGACGTGTATTTTGGGCATTCATATGCTGAGAACTGCACTCTAAGTGTTTGTTTGGCTCGAAGCCAGACGGTGCGACGTGGTACGCCCCCCCCTAGCTTCAGACATGGCCCCGGAGTTTGAACAGATACCTGGTTCATATGTCACCACTCGCCGTTGTCTCTGGGATGAAATGTAGAAAGAATTATATCAGCTTTACAAACGATTTCATAGAATAGTAACTTATATTGCATACCAGAGCCAGAGAGGTCTTGCGAAGGACATCCAATACTCTGATTGAAGTAAGTCACTCTATAATTCTTAGAAATCTACGTACATTTTTACCCTTAATACAAACGTACACACGTAATTTGACCTGTATAAATTACATGTTAAAAAGGCAGCAACCAGGACAGACATGAGTTCACTTCGTCAGCTGTTTGCTGCAGTCTTTGCAGTGGGTCAATCAATATACGTATTGATTTGAGTTATGCCGTAATGCTATATGTGTATGTATACGTGGCTATATGAGAGTTGCCGTGTCCTCACATGTGTTTGTGACGAGTGCCAGGATACGCTGGAAAACTCCATATGCCAACACAGCTTGATAGTCAGTGAGTTTACTTTTACGCCGCATTTAGCAGTATTCCAGCAATATCACGCCGGGGGACACAAGAAATGGGCTTCACACGTTGTTACCATGCGGGGAATAGAACCCGGGTATTCGGCGTGAAAGCTTTAGCTACTAGGCTAGCCCATCTTCCCCAATTTGATAGTGAGCGAGTGAGTTTAGTTTTTCGCCGCTTTTAACAGTATTCCAGCAATATCACACCGGGGGACACAAGAAACGGGCTTCACACGTTGTTACCATGCGGGGAATAGAACCCGGGTAGGCTACCCCATCGTCCCCAATTTGATGGTGAGCGAGTGACTTTAGTTTTTCGCCGCTTTTAACAGTATTCCAGCAATATCACGGCGGGGAACACAAGACGTGGGCTTCACACATTTTACTCATATGGGGAATCGGGCCTTCCGCGTGAACGCTGTAGTCGTCCCCAGTTTGATAGCGAATCATTGACAAATGCTCTTGTTATAGTGATAAGGTGGGGTCGGCCTTAGGGTAGATTTCACAGGATAACAGAAATATTGTTTTGCTGTTGTTCAATATTTGTGTGTTTCCTTGTAGAATTATTGAAGGTAACCTTCATGGCGGATTCAGTCTTGGACAAGCTGGGAAAGTAAAGTGAAGAAAGTGACACCTACCTGTCCTGACTACCACAGAGCCTGGTCGAAACAACCTTAGCTGCAAACCCCGTGTTGAATAAAACACGCAATAAGTGCGATGTCAGCTCTTATATACTGTCCTGTTTCTAACAGCTTCGTCATCGTTAACCAATCAGCTAGGTGCATTCCGAAGTGTGCGTGTTACTGTGCAGGCTTGCAACATGTCACCTGATGCTATCGATCTCAAGCTTCGCAGATGCCAGCCATTGAACATAATCAGTATTGTCATGCTGCATTTGTCCTTGTCGTTTCTGTTCATACCTTAGCAACACATTAGTGACAATCAGTAAATAATGGAGATAGGTAAAGATTTAACACATGTGGTGTTTTAAAGGACTGCCCTTGCTTTTAGGGGTCCCGGATGCTTGCTGTACCTTCAGTCGGAATGCAGATAACGAACGAACTAGGAGGTGGTCCCTATTTGTTATTACCGTAGTAAACTCGATTAGATCAGCGACATTACTAAGAAAAGCTGGTATGTTTTAATTCCTTGCATTTTAATTGCCACAGTTTGACTGACAGTATGAGCGATGACACTTAATAGGTCACGGTGACAGTAACTATCTAAAAGATCCCGACGACTAGATGCCACTGGCAGACTCCTAGGTATGTCGTACTTACCAGGGCTGGGACGGTTGGGTAATGAGTTGGACCCGGGTACCCGTCTCCATACCCGGACCCGTTATGATCATGTGACGAATAGATTAAACAATGTGATATGTTATTCTCTCATTATCGAAAGTCTGTATTGTCTTTGAACATTTAGACATTATTTACAGTCACTAGTTTTGAATATAATACATGATTAAAATACTGAAAAACTCGAAATTTTAGCTTCCGAGATAAAGAATATGTTGTCATTTCTGACAAATTTGATGTCAGGAATTAACATATTGGGTATCCGGGTAGGGTAGGGTAATAGGGCGGGTAGAAAATTTGGACTCGTCCCAGCCCTAGTACTTACCAAACCCGTTGATCGGTGGGAGAGTTTGTTGTATCGGAGCCCGAGGCGGGTGGTTCCACTTGCAGGGTATTGGGAATAATGTGTGTCTGGGTTATGGTCCGTTACGTATATTGTTAGGGTATAGGGACATTTAAGCTATGTCTACAAACGTGTGCCACATGGACCCACCCGATCGACTGGTTCCGCTCAAAGTTTCATCCTGCCACCAAGGGGTGGTACAGATACCCGAGGATCTGCTGCTAAACCACATCTGACTATAAAGAATAATGAATAAGTCTGTGTAAATTATGTTCGTGTGTTTACAGCTGGTTGACGGCGTTCTGTAAATAATCGGGGCTGGACCAGACAATCCTGTGATTGACATCATGAGATAATGACTCGTGTATTTAGGAGGAACAGCTGGGAACATCTGGTCCATACTGATAGTTCGAACCCTGATTTGATTATGATCCTTGGTTAGTTTGTCGCCACCATGCATGTGGTCAGGAGGTTCACTAAAACAGGCAACCGACCGTGACTAAATGGCAGCTGACACGTGAAGCTGATATGCCGCCATGTTTGTCAAATTCTGTTTTGACGTTTTAGATTCGAAATGACTGCATCTTTTCACCACTGAAAAAGAATCCAGACTTTGTTATGCATAATAAAGATTACTCTGTTCATCATATTGAGAGATCCTTAAACATATCTAAATATTATCATGCACATATCATAGACAGAAAGGCTTTTTTTCTTCGACTGTTTTATTGTGAGATACAACGGTATAAAAGGTTACAATATACTGTTCATTGACATGCTGATAACAGTACATGCTCGTAGATATGAAAAAAAATACTTGCTAAACAAGTGGACGTGTCTACAAAATTCCTCTTTGAGGATTCGGAATCTGTTCCGTTGCTAAATAATGTGTTATTTAACAACCGGAATACAATGCAAGCACACGCAGTGATGTAGACGATGCGGCTTACACTTATATTCCATACTGGAATATGTTAACCCACCCTCCTGACCCACAAGAGCCGATCCCACCCAAACCCACCCATTCCCTCGTCCCCACCCCACCCACTCCACTCCCTCGTCCCCACCACGGCGTGCGCAGGTGAAATGATGCAGGGAACTAGTGACAGTTGTTTCAGTTGAAATAGGAGTGCGACACACTCATTTTGTTTAATATTTTAAAAATAGAATCTAGAGTGAATTCTGTCCTGAAGAAAAAAATATTTACGAGATTCATGTTCAACTGAGTGATCTAACTTATTTGTAAACTATATTTGCAAGTTTAACATTTTATTGGAAGATATTCAAGCAAAATGTTGAACTTGTGAATATGGTTTACAAATAGGTAGCTCACTTATTTGTACGTGAATATTTTTCGGAAGGTATGCCTTCAATCTGAATTCTATTTTTAAAATATGCAAGTTAGCTATGCAAGTTATGTATAGTGAATGTGCAGTTTTCATTGATATAACAAATATGGCTTACAGGAACACATGGTATATAAGTAATATACATGTGCATATGTTATACAAGCTGATAGTACAATATACATATATACTAACATTGCAAGTTAGGTATAGTGAACTTACAGCTGTCATTGATACAACCAATATGGCTTACAGGATCACATGGTATATAAGTAATATGGATGACTATATGTTATACAAGCTGAGAATACAATATACATATATACTAACATTGCCAGTTAGGTATAGTGAATGTACAGCTGTCATTGATACAACCAATATGGCTTACAGGAACACATGGTATATAATTACTATACATGTTTAAATGGTGTACAAGCTGGCAGGACAAAATACAGTCGAGCACCGTTGTGTGGAACTCTGATAACTCGATATCTCGGTTGTCTAAATATAACATCTCGGCCCCGGCAAAATCCTTCATAATTTATCATTATTCAAGCTCTTTTAACTCGTTACGGATGTCTCGATATAATTTCATGGTCCCAACAAGCAAAATTACCCTTTTAAGTTGACATATATACTAACATTGCAAGTTATGTGTATTAAACTTATACAAGCTGACAATACAATATGTACATTCTAACATTGCAAGTTATGTGTATTATACCCCACTTCCGGTCTCGTTGCCATGGTTTCCTTTGTTAAAAGTGTAGGTGTATTGACCGGTACACCTGTCAAAAGTGTAGGTGTATCAATGATACACCTACACTTTTTCACTAGGGTATACCGAAGCAATAAAGACACAACAAACGGCGAAATATAATTTTATTTCAATGGACTCACATTGAGATTTCGATTGTTTCAAAATCTTCCTTATCATCCAGGTCGAAATGTGACACTAACGAACTGTCAATTTGAGAAAGAAAATCCTCTGTCCACTCTTCAGCATCCATGGCCGACGAACGTGTGATCTTCCAAATGTTTTCTATGCCACATGCGAGTCAGAGAACGCATGCGCATTGGTCTGCCCCATACAAATGTCAATTATCAGTAATATTTCGCATATTTGGGGCTACTTGAAATCATTCTCGCGCCCGAACTGGTTTTAAAATCGTGTGAAATCGTGCAAGCCCGTGCATGCACGTGCAATCGACTGCTTATAGTCTGTTTGCAGTGAAAACGTACCGATGAATATCACTTAAAAAAAGTAAATCAAATAAAGTGAAACTAAGGTGCAAATCCCCATAATTTTACATTGCCTATTGAACATTTAAATCTCAGAATTATATTCAGCTTAGGATAAAAGTTATTTAACAAACGATCATAGTTTCAAAGCGCTGTTATTGGTTTGTATTACAAGGGGGTATGCGCATTAAATGAAACACCGATAACATGTAGGTTTGGTCGAAGTTAACGCTCATTACGTACCGCACGGGCATTTGTTTCACTGTTCCAACTACTGCGCTTACCCCCTTAAAATTGTAATACAAACCAATAATATTGATTTGAAACTATGATCATTTGTTAAACAAATTTTATTCTTAGTTGAATATAATTCTGGAATGTTCATTTGCCAAGGTCAGATTATGAGATTCACAATCTTAATTTCACTTTATTTGATTACTTTTTTGTTTAAAGTGAAATTGATCGGTACGTTTTCACTGCAAACAGACTATAGACGCGGGACATTTGAGGGTCTTAACCAGTGGGCTAAAATAAATGAAACAGATGGAAAACAAATACATTTTTGTCATTCTTAGAATATAAAGTGTTATAGTAAACTCGTATCTCGACCAGAAGTGAGGTATAAGTCAATATATACCCACACTTCCTCGGTCAATCGCTCAATACCCTACTGTTTGAGTCGTCGTGGTCTCCTCGGCTAGCGCCTCGGAGGCCACACGACTCAAACAGTAGGAGTATTGAGCGACACACCTCGGAAAGTGTGGGTATATCTAATACTTAAACTCATACAAGCTGACAATACAATATGTATATTCTAACATTGCAAGTTATGTGTATTAAACTTATACAAGCTGACAATACAATATGTACATTCTAACATTGCAAGTTATGTGTATTAAACTTATACAAGATGACAATACAATATGTATACGTATATTCTAACATTGCAAGTTATGTGTATTAAACTTATACAAGCTGACAATACAATATGTACATTCTAACATTGCAAGTTATGTGTATTAAACTGACATAACCAATATGATCTGTTTGATTGGCATTTTAGAAGTTGATGGATGATAGAAAATACTTTATGGATAACAACTTCTTTATTTCTTTATTATTTATACGTTTCGGTATATCAATGATGGCTGGAGTGCTCTGTTCTATTGCTTTTATCAGTTCATTGTAGGCGGATGGAATGGGGTATCCTTGATCTCTGTTGATTGAGGGTTTGTGTCGGCGGATGCGGACGCTTGTCCCGTCCCATAAACCTCAGAATTAAAAAAAACACATAATCAACTGTCCTAGTCACAACATCGAATGGAACAATGTGGAAATATTATTAAAAAACCTCCAGGACTTCACCAAAAGAAAACTGACAGAAGCAGTTCAAATCCGCCGACACAAGCCCTCAATCAACAGAGACCAAGGATACCCCATTCCATCCGCCTACAATGAACTGATAAAAAC